ATAAAGGCCGTAAATGATTATGTGCTTGTGTGACTGTCCAACATCTCATCCTGGTCCATGGAGGAAACAACAAACGTCTATACAATTTAAGAATGTTCAAACATTTACAGAAGAGGCCTAGCTCTCATCTTATACAGAAATCTCATCTCTGCTCTCATCTACATAGAGAAATTCATCAGCAATTGCACTAATTTCTTTAGAAAAGGGATAAATTAAACAAGACTACACCTCCACGGGTCTGTTTCTCCTCTTGTACATGCTGCATTTCCTTGAATTTGCAAATCCTGTGTGCTTGCGTTGGTGTAAGTGAGGCTGCACTTGGCCAAAGTGGCCCTAAGTTGGAAGCGACTCCCACATTCAATCTTTGGGCTTACCAAACCATCTCCTAGTCATGCCTGGGAACTACGGGTGGCAATGGACCTTCCACATAATTTACTCCTCCTTGTCCTGAGTTTCGAGGAAGATGTAGCAAAAAGATGATGTGAAACCTCTCAAACTCTGCCAGCGTTTGGACAATCCCTACAGAAGCTACGATGCAGTGGGTGAGAATGAAAACCCACCCCCTCCCACCCAGCATTTGAGGCAGCAGAAGAGAAAAACGGACCCACTCAGAGTCCTGGATGGACCCCACACCCTCATGCATGGTCACTGAGTCCCCACAGAGCAGCCTCACCCTGCCCCGAGCAGCTTGCGGGGAGGACCTGAGCAAGAGGGAGCTCCTGCATCCTACACCCAATGCTCAGCATCGCCCAGGCACGACGGGCTGAGCAAAGGACACAGCTCCAGCCTGCCTCCTGAACTTCCTTGCCTCCTAGGGGCTTGCACCAGGTCCTCCACATTATCCAAATGCTGGTTTTCTCGTGGTTGATTTTATATCTACTCCCAGAAACCGTCTTCCTAGGAAGCTGAATAAAGAGGCACAGTGCCCCTGCCAACTAGCACTGCTGTAGGTCTGCTTCCACGTGGGGTCACATGAGAACACTTCTATGCCCAATAACCTTGTTAGTTCCCTTAATGTCATTCATAATGCAAATGAGACAGCGAGCGAATGGCCAGAGGCCCAGAGTGACTAAAGCTCAGCATCCAGAAAGTCTTACATTGCCTCTAGCTCTAAACTAACTTCCCTCCATAACAAGCACCATAAACTTGGCTATCAAAGCTACACATGCCCAGTCTTTGTTGTACAACAGGCAGCGATTTGTATCACTGGGTTCTATTTTTAGCATATTAATTAACTACTGCAACTGGTGAGGCAAGTGTCTCCAACTGGAGAGTGTGGCACCATTGTCTGAAGTCATCACCTCATCTCGCGCTATTGAAAATCATGGCAGTGACCCTCCTGCTGATATGAATTTAACCTGACATGCCCACAAAGGGATGGGGGGTGGTGCACCAATTTTGTGCACATGGTTCTCCACATCACCCTGGACCCTATTAGTGTGGAAAGAGCTCATTGAAAGAAAAGAAGCCACATTGTGCTGGGCCACCTAGAGGGTTGAATAGAAAAGGCTGAGGAAAAGAGCAGGCAGTGGAATAAAGGCTGTAATTAACATATTTCCATATTCAAGCAAAGCAATAACTACGTGAAATGTTTGTCAAGGTGCAATGAAAGCATAAATATTAAGTACCGTATCTGAGGGGATGCAGAACCCCCCTCTGAGTCTCTTACATTCCATCCAGAAATTCAAAACAAGCTTTTTACACATTATTTTCAATTATAAAACTCTATCCCTGCTTCCCCCATGATAACAAGCCAGGTCCTGCCATCCTCACTCAGTTTTCACCCAGGTGAAACTGCCCCCAGAATTAAGTTACAAGCTTGCCCTGAGATTTAAAAAAAAAAAATCAAAACAGAAGAGGGAGAGAGAAGACTTAAAAATTTGATTCTGAAACATTCGCTTTTACTTGTTGGAGATGAGGAACCCTGAATTACAGAGGGAATGTTAAAAATCACTTCTTACTGGACACCTGAAACAAGGCTGTGGGCTAAATCCTTCTTTTGGACTGATGTGCAACCTTGGTTAATGGGCACCCAGAGCCTGCACTGAAGACACGGCTCTGCCTCTAACTTTGTTGTGATTTATGCAATTCTGTGACAAAGTACAAAGGAGTCTCGTTAAAAGTCAGGGGAGTAGTGCAACAACGCATAGTCTACGAGGATGTGAACACACAAACACTTCAAGGAAGAAACGGGTTGTAAGAAAGCAGGATTTGTTTTACTTTCTATTCCCAGGCAATAAACACCAGAAACCACCCCATCCCCATTTCAATATCACCTTTTTCCTAAAGGACCTTAAAAACAAGGGACCAACCTTGCACAACCCCACTGACTCAAGTGTTGGAAAAAAAACCAGCCAATATAAGAAACAGCGCCCTTTGCAACACAGCCACCTCTGGACCAGCCAGCTGAGTCATCAAGAAAATTCAGGGTACCCTGAATCCGCATCCTGCTTTCAGACCAGAGCTCACATAGCCCGGGCACGAACGTATGCACGTGCCGAGGAAGTTTTTCAGCCGGCGTGGCACACATAAACGACGATTAGGTTCTACGACCCTGCACACCATGGCCGAGCTCTTTTGCTGGCTCTCCCCTGATCCGGTGGACTTCACTACCTCCGAGCCAGGAAAATGCAAGGTTCATAGTCAGTCTAAAGCAGGAGGGAACTGGAGGCAGGAACCCAGAGAGGTCCTGCAAGGGGAAGCCCTAACTCACAGCCAATAAATGAAAACTGCCGGAAGGAAAAGAGCACTGACAAATATCCAGGCTGAATGTGCCCGGTGTGCCAAAGCCAGATGGGAAACTCTACCTTCTTACAATGACCCTTGCTACTGCTCTGGGCGCAGGCTGGGTTTTTTAACAGCCAGTT